CCATAATACTCACCACCTCAGTCCAATCTTACAATTTTAATCTTTTTGCCTAACTGTTTTTCAACTTCAGTTTGATAGATCTTAAACATGTTAAGTGCATCGGACTTTTGGTGTATTAGGTACAAATAAGCATACCTTTAAAAATCATCCATAAAGGTAATAAAATACATTTGTCCTCCTCGAGAAGCGGTAGGAAACGGACCACAAATATCTGTGTGAATAAGGCCTAAAATACTAGATGACCGACTAGCCTCAAAATTACATTTCTTCTGCATCTTCCCCTTGACACAGTCAACACATAAATCAAAATCTGAAAAATTTAGTGGTCTTATAATCTCATCCTTGACCAAGCGTTCAAGTCTCTTTCGAGAGACATGCCCCAATCTCCTATGCCACAACATAGATGAATCCTCTCTAATAAAAGCACGTTTTGATCCGGAAGGTATCGAATCCACAAAAAAATAAGAAGCAGGTATATGAGAATCATCCAACAATAACTGATATAAACCATCAATTAAACAACCATGTCCAACTATATTATTACCATAATGAATAGTAACTGATCCAACACCAAAAGAAAACCGAAAACCCAAAGCATTAAGTCTTGAAACTGAAAGTAAATTACGCCTAATAGTAGGAACATAAAAAACATCCTATAGTTCTAAGGAAAAACCAGTGTGTAACACTAGCGAAATCGTCCCAACAGTTGCAACATAAACTGCATCAGCATTACCCAACACCAATTTCTCCTCAGCCCTGGGTTTTCTCTGGCTTCGAAGTCCCTGTGACGAACAAGAGATATGAACAGATGCACCCGTATCAATCCACTATGTATGATTAGGCACATTTACTAAGTTGGATTCAAATATTACCATAGCAATTCCCATACCTACTTTGTTTTTCTTTAACCAATTTTTGTAGCTATAGCAGTCTTTCCTTTAATGTCCTTTCTTCTTACAGAACCACATTCATCATTCGCATTTGCATGCTCAATGCCTTTTCCTTTGTTGTCCTGCTTTCCATGTTTCTGAATTGTCTGATTCCCTTTCTTGCCTCCTTTCAACTTAAAGTTATTCCTACTTTTACTGCTTATGGCAAGATGAGCCGACTCAAATTTAGCACCCTTGAGCCCCTCTTCCTCGGTCACACAAAATGCCAATTGCTGATTAATGTCCCATTTTGTCTCTTGTGAATTATAATTTACCCTGAAAGTATCAAAAGATCTAGGCAGAGAATAAATCACCATGTGGACCAATAACTCATCATCAAATATGATTCCCTGCTCTCTGAGACCATTAACCAGCTTGCATATCTTATAGATATGCTCCCTCACTGAACCACTGCCATCATAACTGGTTGACATAAGTTGTGTCAAATAATAATACTGAAGTTGCTTCTTGGTACCCATGAATTGCTTCTTAAGTAAATCAAGAAGCGCCTTGGCAGTATCAAATACAGGAATACCACCACGAATAGTTTCACCAATAGAAGCACGAATCAACCTGATGGCCATAGTATTAGCCTTAGTCGACTTAGCATGCAACAACTTTACTGCTTCAGAAGACTCTTCAGTGATTACAGCGGGTTTCTCCTCATAAAGTACAAACTCATAGTCCAAGAAACCCAACATAATATCAACAATTGTCCTCCAAGTAGTATATTTCGAACCATTCAATGATTCAATCCCTGTAAGTTGTCTTTGAATAGCGGAAGCGTCCATAACTGTAATACATGTTATATCAAATAACATAAAAATGAACATATAAAATAATATATTACAGCTTTAGGGATTATTTCTTTAATTCGTGCTTGTTTAAGCCGAATTTATCAGGGTGTTTTACTATATGCAAAACTGTCCACCCTGCAGGAACATATAAAATGTCATCTAAAAAACACCTTTTGGCATAATTTTAGATTTTATTTTATCCCAAACTTGCGATCAAATCACACATAGACCTATTTGATTATACTTGAATTGTTACTAAACACTTCCACTACCTTTTGGCAAGAGGGTTATTTAGTTAGAATCCAAGCACTCTCAAATATTCTACTCACTTATCCCACACTAAGACATTGATCACCTTTTGCCAGAACAAATACCCTCATGTAGGTAAGTGCACTGTGAGACCTCAATAAGACCAATGCCTTAAAATTTAAAAATAATAACCTCCATGAGCGTGTCATTTTTAAGCAGGCATCACTCACTTTGATTATTATTTTTTAAAACGATCACTTTACCGGTCCTCATAAACCTCAATGAAAGACCTTATCTTTATAAATTCCATTTAATCAAGAATAGCACACTCATGAGGTCATGTAAATTCATCACCATTATATGAGATTAGTCAGTGAGCAATTTAATAAATAATACATGAAATTACTACCTCACATATATAAAATAATTTAAAGAATTAATTAAATATTTAAACATATATCCCTCTCTATATACTATACACAGTATAATTTTTACAATCAAATTCATTGATTTTATTTCTTGTTCAGCGTGCATACTGATTAAAGGAAACAAATTCTAAATCACATAACAAATTAATTCCTTAAAATCATGACAATAATCAATTTATTAAAAACAGACAGTATAAAATCATAACAAATTGATTACTTAAACTTTAACAAAAAAATTAATTCATGCCAACACTCGTAAGGTGTGCATGTAAAACTAATTAAAACAAGCTGATATATACACACATATACAACAAATTCATTAATTTTGGTTTCCATCTCGTTCGGCGTGTACAACAATTTGCATTCCTGGCTACCAAATTGCGTGCATGTAAAACTATTAAAACAAATTGATATATACACACATATACAACAAATTCATTAATCTTGGTTTCTGTCTCGTTCGACGTGTACAACAATACAAAACTCGTACTGTTGCATTCCTAGTTACCAAATTGCTTAAAGCTTGTTGATATTTAAAACAATCAAATCTTCTCTCGGTCGGCGTGCATTAAATATCAAACAGAAACTTACTTACTGATTATATGAATCAATTACGTATCAGTACGCAAGTACAAACATCCAGATGATTAAATACCCACAAAATCGAGACACACAAAATTAATGATTTCAAATACATCGATTTAAGTATGTTACATCATAAATTAATCTTTATTATTTTGATTTCTACAAATCCTAACCTTGTTCTGATACCAATTGTTAGGTTTACTTAACAAACAACAAGTAGAAATCAAAATTGATCATCAATTAAAGAGAGGGTTTGATCTCATACCTGATTAGAAAATTAAACTTGAGATACCTTTTTGAGAATTCTTTATCGCCCTTTGATAGATTTGAAAAATAGAACACTTTACCCCCTTCTGAAAGTTGTCGATACGATAGGACTAAATAAGGGTTTTAAAACCCCTATTTATAACAACAATAGGGGGAGACGGCTTTTCTACAAACAAGCATATCTAAGTCTCCCTTCCTATCATGGAAATTTAAATATCAATGGTTAGAATTAAATCACACCAAATAAGTCGGAAAACCACCTATATATAACAACAACAGGGGGAGACGGCTTTTCTACAAACAAGCATATCTAAGTCTCCCTTCCTATCATGGAAATTTAAATATCAATGGTTAGAATTAAATCACATCAAATAAGTCGGAAAACCACAATCTAACGGTATAAAACCATACTCCCAATTAGACCACCAAATTGAAAAGTACAACCCAATCCATCAAGTATCAATAATCACATTGCAATCCTAATTTAGGAAACGTAATACATAGGACCATAATGAATTTTATAATTTAAATATATATATATATAATTCCAACAGGAGAGCCACGGCGAGCACAGCAAAAGACCACAGATAAGGGAGAGCACCAGGAAACCGATGCTCTAAAGGATTCCCAGTCTCATAATAAAATTCGGCAACAATGATCCAGGACCCAGAGGCAATGGCAGCCGGAACAACAGAAAGGAGCAGCCAAACTGCTTGAAAATCACATGCAACCTGCAAAACCCAGAAACGTGAGATAAACACCGGCACGTCGGACAAAGAGAAGAACGTACCACAAGACCAGAAAAGACGCGGCGTAAATAGAAAACGTACGAACAGATAAGCCGCATGAAGATCCACCGCGACCCCAGAAACCGTGATCACAAACAAAAATCCCACCCAAACAAGCAAACAAAGACCCAACATCAAAGCCAGAAAAAACGACCAATTACCGGGATCAAACGGGAAAGCCAGGGAAGAAACGACTGAAACCCAGGCAGCGATCAAAACAGCCAACCTAGAAACCCGGAGAGCACGACAGACAGTCGGAGACGACCACCATAGGAAATAACCCATCCCATAGAAACACCACGTAAGGCACACCCAAAGAAACCGAAGCAGGAAAAGAACGAACAACGAGAAATCGAAACAAAAACCCTGATGAAAACAGAGAGACTCCTACGGGAAGAGAGAGCTATTTCCAAATACTAAATAGAATAGTAGTAAAGAGTACCTTCTTAAACCCGCGAAACCGATCTCTCCCCTTGGTTAGTTGTACTTTCCATCCCAAAGTCATATCTCCCTTGTTTGCGCCACGAGTTCGTGTATATTCCCAAAGGCAAAATGCCCAATTATATTCTGTTTATTTAGATTTCCAAAAAACTAACCAATCACTCAGTGCACCGCGTACACACTGGCCCCCAAATCGTGTGCACCTAATTCTTTTTATTTTATTTATAGTTTGTAAGTCAGGTGGGTGGAACCCACAGTTTCATCTTTAATGTAAATGTATCATATAAGTGTTACATTACTGTTGAGTCTCGTATCTGATGATGTAACGCATTACATAATTAACTTACTTTTACATACAACGAGAAAGTGACACGATTTTATTAGTAGAGTTTATCGTCTGTTTGCCACGAGGAGTTTATCTAAATACATTTTTATCTTTTTTCCTTTCTTCTTACTCATCATCATGCAAAATTTCTTCGATCTATCACTCATTTTATAATGTGACATCATATATAGATGGAAAAGTAAAGATTACCAAGGAGATAATCGAAGTTGTAGATGAAGAAAAGAAATCAGTGACTTTCAAGGTAATTAAAGGAGACCTCACTGAGCCGTACAAGAGCTTCATTTTTATTCTTCATGTTGATGCTAAGGGTGAAAGTAACCTTGTGGCATGGACTCTGGAATATGAGAAGCTGAAAGATGATGTACCTGATCCAGCTACAGTGATGGACATTTGTGTTAATATGACCAAAGATATTGAAACTTATCATCTCCAAAAATAGCCACAAAGTGTCATGGATTGGTGTTGCTGAGTACACGAATAAATATTGAGTGATATGTCAAATACTAGCTGTAATAAGTTAGGGGGAGTTCTTATGAGTGATATGTAAAATAATGAATAATATGTTATATAAATATGGGTGTGTAGAAACTTGTACTTGCAGCAGTGTATTACATATTTGTGGTTGCTTATCAATAATTAGTAATATACATACTGTTTGATGTTATGCATTAAGCGCCAAGTGTATGTTTTTATTCCACTTTTTGATTTCATGTAATTCTGAATTTCATTGTTTAGTTTGTTAATTTAATCAACCTCTCGGAATTATTAATTAAAAAAATGGAATATTGCATAAACTCCTTTGACTATCAATTTTTTCACAAAAAATATATCATTTAATCTATCTATTGAAGGATAATCCTCTTCAACTACTCAATGTTTTGAAGGATAATCCTCTTCAACTATTCAATTTTTTTGCAAGAGGCCGGCAGTCCACCCTTAGCTACCAAAACTCATCAGTACATGTGTGTCATGTAAAAATTAGTTCTTAATGAAATGTCATAAATACCCATTTTGGTGACCAAAATACTCCTAGTATTTATACTCCCAGACATCCGAGTTCAAAAACTCGACCATTTGGACCGTAAGTTCTCCATAACGTTTGGACTGCAAATTCTTCAGCCATGGAACCATCAATCCAATTGGTTCTAGAAATTTATGATGAATAAATCCTTAAACTAAATCTAACTCGGTTTAATGATGGAGATATTAAACCTTGACACTCCTGTTTGGGAAAATGGAAGTTTTTAAAAGTTTATGAAGGATTTTCAAATAAATATCTTGATTCATGTGTAGAGGCAAGTTTTATGTATAAAGAACATGATGCTCCATTCAATTAGAGATACAAAACTTACATCAAGATTTGAGTAAATCTTAAATCTTTCATCTAAAGTGAATGTTCTCACTTATTATAGATCCATTTGCTAGATGCCTTTTACTTGGATATCCATTTTCTTGGTTATGGTCTTTCCTTTAGCAATCACCCATAAACCTCCATGAATGACTTTGGAGAGCTAAACTTGTGAGAGCCTCCATTAGATGAGAACACTAACCCTAATTTTTTAGAGAGAGAAAAACTTTTCTTGTCTTTTAAAAGTTATTGCACAAATGTGTAACCTAAAATATATATAGACCCTATATATATATATAGGCAAAATAAAAATAATAATTGAAGACATCATATTTTCTCAATTTCTAAAAGTAACCTGATATCTCAAATCTAATGGGCCTCCAATATCAAGTTGGGCATGAGTGAGTATCCTTTGGGCTTATTATTTTCTTGTCTACAATGAATTAATAATTGGTTCGGTCCATGGACCCATTTCAATTAATTCATAAATTAATTTCTACTCCAATAAAATAAATTAATTGAACTCCAATTAAATAATAAATAACATCTAAGTCAATGTCGCACTTTGATCCCTCTATGCATAATTAGTTATCGGATAAATAAAGCCATCAATCCGGTTACTAAATTAATATATTTATTTTGGTACCTTTGATTATTTCCGGCTTAATCACAATAAAACATTTGTTTGACAAAAATAATAATTTAAATAAATAAATATATAGAAAATCATTTTGTCTAAAAACACGCAAAGGCCTTTAAATTTATTTTGTGATCAATCATAATCAATACAAAATAAATACAAGTAACAATGATGCAAATATTGAAAATATAACCCTCTAACTATTAATTACATAATTACCCAAAGTGCCGGTCTATGGATTATGAAGATTCCGCTGAATAAATCAAAGTAATTACTAATTAATAAAAGAGTGTATAATTCTCTCATACTTAAGAGTCAAATGTCATGATAGTGATAAGGAGCAATTGCATACGACGGCTCTCGCAATATATCTCAGCCTAACGTGGATTCAGTTTAAGTCTTAGTTAATAATGAGTCCATCCATAATTACCGACTGTGAACTATTTATGATTACTATTTATATTTATGTATGGATCGCCATCACATATATATATAAATATCTTTTGTAATCAAGTGAACACTATCAATTTCACAATGAATCGAAACATAATACATTGAATTCACTAATTGTATAAAGCATAAATATTTTAGATATCTTGGGAACATATGTCACTTTAATCCAATTAGGAATTCGCTATGCTAAGGCATATAAATCCAACAGCTCCAACTGGATAGTCATCACAAAACTTCAACAGAAAAATGTAGCTATATATATCTTTCTCCTACTCAAAATCTAAAGTTTAGAATTAACCAACACCATGCATAATCATCATCAATATTCCACCACCCCATTCACTAGTAGTGATCCAATTAATTTTACCTCATTAGAACTTGATGTCGTGGAATGGTTGGTTATCTTTACAACGAACACCAACTGCTTACTGAACGGTTTACTTGTTCTTTCCACTATTGTTAACAGAATCTAAAAGAAACAATAGAGCTTTCAAAGATCAAAGATGTAACCAATCGATGATCCTAGGGCAAACTACAGACATGGTGCGACAAAGATTACTTACAAGATCCTCGCGTTACTCGGTTACTTCAAGACGCATCATGTAGGACTGGGATCTCCCCGAATCGCTCATACAACCGCCGGCGGAACCACATTGATCAATTGGGCCACGGCTACAGCTATGCCTCTGACGTACATCATCGGATTCTGTGTTGAACTGTTGAAGACCAAGTCGTCTATAGTCTAGGTCTCTTAGACTACAAATGACTTAGGCCTTTGTAGTGAACCTTTAGGATGGGTTATTATGGGATTGCCATTGTTGTGGACTCGATTTTTTGGGTTATAAAGTTGTTTTGGGATTACCTATGTTGTGGGATCGTTCGCTTGTACATTCTTCTTGTATCTATACAATACATTTACCTTTCCAAAAAAATAATAATAATAAATAAAATATAGGGTAAAGTATAAAGACATCCCTCCTGAGGTTTGGGGTAAGGTCATGCTGATGAAAGTTTGTCTATTTTTGGACAACGACACCCCCTTGTGAAATTTATCATCCAAACAGAGCCTTAAAACATATGAAAAGTCCACTTTACCCTTTACTATTTTATTAATTTTAATTATAAAATATCAAAAATACTTAAATGATCAAATTGCCCTCTCTCTCTCTCTCTCTCTCTCTCTCTCTCTCTCTCTCTCTCTCTCTCTATATATATATATATATATATATATATACACACACACACACACACACACACAAACAATCACGGTCATCACCACCCCCAACCTCCATAATCACTACGCACTAAAGAAGACGACGAAGAGAAGCTCTGCCACTGCCACCTCCTTGACCTCGCCGGAGCTCGGCCTCGATTCAGGCAAACTCGTCCTCGGACAAACCGGGTTTGACTTAGATTTTGGAGTTTTTTAAGGTGGTGATGACTGATCATCGGCGGTGTAGCCGTGAGCAAGAATCGGCGTTGCGCACGGGATGGACGAATTTTTGGCGTGAAGCGAATGGATCAGCGATGAGAATGATCCCACAGTGAGCACTGATTTCTGGTGTGAAGCGGATGGATGAAAGATTAACAGAGACGTACTCCCCATACCGGCGTCTTTGATTTTTGACGGCAGCAGATAGTTGATGTTTGAGTTTGCATCAAAGCTTTGAGGATGGGATTGGTGGTTCTACCATCGTTAGATTTGGATGATATGGACAGCTGAGGATGAGATTGGTGGTTCCGTTGCTGATAATGAGGCGGCGGGGGAGGTTGAGGTGTGATGATGAGGCAGTGGCGGCTAAATAATCGGCGCAAATCAGTGAATAATCGGTGGTAATTATGACGATTGCCGCCACTGGCGCAGTCATTGCCGCCACCCCCATTGTCGTAACCATCACCACAATCTCTCTTCTAACTTCTTCATCTCTCTCCTCTTCACCTCATCTTTTCAATTTTGGCCGCCCCTCTCTTCCCTCCCTTCTCTACACCCACCATCGTAGCCATAACCACCATCTATCTCATCTCCGTTCTTCCTTTCTCCGTTCTTTCTCCTCTCCACCCACCATCACCGCCATAGATACATAAATATATATACACAGTGGTGAACTGTATATATACACACATGCGGGTTCAGGTTCGGGTTCGGGTTTGAGATAGGTTTGGGTTAGGGTTTAATCCAAGGGTATTTAAATCAATTAAAATGTTAATTTTATTTGAAAGGGTAATAAGGTCAATTCACCATCTTCAGGGTCTCTTTTGTCCATTTTTCAAACTTGAAGAAATGTCATTGTCCAAAAATAGGCGAACTTTCATGTGCATGGCCTTACCCCAAACCTTAAAGGGTGTCTCTGTACTTTACCTTAAAAAATATTAACTCCATAAAAGGCATCAAAAGATAGAGGTATAGAGTACGTAGTTTATATCAATAGGTACAAGGGATAAAAGATCATCTTGCCAAAGACCAGGGGTAAAGCCAAGATTGCAAAGTAAGAGGGCTAAAAATAATTAAACCCATAATTGCTTAGTGTATCATCCATGCTTTAAATACAGAATTCTCGTACATCAGTCATTCAGTTAAACTTAATAATCTGCAACCTTCTAACACATTTACACTTCCAAACTCTAACGTGTTTTTACAGTAAAGAATGCACTGAAGTATGTTTCATACAAGTATTAAAACAAGCACCTGCAAGAATGCAAGATATATACATTCCTTACCAATAAATTCACATTAGAAAGTAAGACCTGTGTGCTCCACCTCTAACTAGTTATTAATCCATTATATAGTAAATTACACAATTTAACAAGAAACCATCAAGTCATCAACAAAGCCTTTTTTTTTTTCTTTTTTTTTTACAAAAATAAAAATCAATATTTCACTAGATTAACAATAATAATCCATGATATCCATCCACCTATGCCTTAGTGCCTTATACACGAAGAGTCTAGGTCTTCTTCCATAGACTAACAATATGCAATGTGTTTGGTTTACTGGGTTAGGCCCTGTTATGTTTTATTATAATTTCTTTTGTGATTGGCCATGTCCATGGTTCATAGACTTGCTCATATTTAAGGCTTAGCCTTTGTAAATTTTATAACTCCTTTTTATTTATAGAAATACTATAGATTGGGCTGGGTTGATAGGAAGAGGAAGAGTTGTACATGGACTTATAGGAACAATAGTACTATTTCCCCCCCCCCCCCCCCCCCAATTGAACCTGGGCTATAGCT